AGAAAGAAAGAAAGAGCATAAAGGTGATTATCAGCAAAGAGACAGAAATTATATCTAGTAATTTGTCTTTCAAATGTCAAGTATGTGCCCTGAACACGTTTCAGTCTAAAAAAAATCATGGAGAAATAAACGCTTTGGGTTTGTATAGGCTTAAAAATGTATCAGAGGTGCAGACTTGCGTGCCCTAAACCTGAGCCAGTAGGAGGGGCACCAGGAAGGCTCATACTGGGCAAGAGGAGACTAGCCTGGGAAGGGAAGCAGGCCGTAATCTCACCCTGGTGCAAAACGCTGAGGCTCTCTTTCATGCCCACATACCCGCCTCCCCTTTTAATTTTCCCTTTGCTTTCCTCATAGCCTGGTAATGTGCTTGGATCTTGACCTGCCTATTTTGTCCTTGGGCTGTGGGGTGCTTTAAGCAGGAATGTCTGGAAACAGAAAACAGACTGGCAGCCAGTGCTCCCATATCACCTGCTGGAATTTCGGGCTCCAGGCTGCTGAGTGGAAGAGATGTTTCGGGGTACACTTGGGGTGGGGTGGGGGCTGGGAAGCCTTTCGGATCCCACCAGCCAAGCAGCAGTTGTCACCAGCCTACTCCTCACACAGTACAACTGTGGGGGGCAGCCAGGTAGCTTTAGGGGGCTGTTACCTGTTCACTTTCTTTCATGGAGAAGCTCATGAGGGTTCACAGTAAGTGACAGGGACAAGGGTCTCTAGGAGCTGGCAATCCATACTCCTCAGATTTTTTTCTCCCTTAGATCAGATTTTTATTGTGTTTTAAAACTGCCTTCATTGTAACAATTATGGGATCAGAATCAAGCTGCCTTTTAAAATCTTCTTGCTTTTAAACCTCAGCAAGGTTCTGCTTGCAGTGATGACTGGCGACAGCAAGATCGAGGATGCTGGCTTGCTTCACGTGACAGAGAACAGACCTGATGACTTGGGTAGAAGCAGCAGCCCACGTGCCTTTCACGTGGCTGGGTGAGAGGGTCGAGTCACACAGGCCAACAGATGGAGAGGGGGCGGGCCGTTTCTCCCTGGGGAAGCAGCTGTCTAAGAGCTACAGGGGTAGTAAGGAGGCAACTAGGGGATCAGGGAACAGAAATATGGGGTGCTCTGATGGGGCAAGACGGCGATGTTGGTGGGTGCCATTGGGAGAACCCAACCTCGGCCACCAAGGATCTGGGCCAGGCTGTCTGCCAGCATGGAACCACAAAGTGGGGACTCTCAGCCCCGGGGGGCCAGGATGGGGGTGTGGTATGAAAATGCGGGACTCACAGGCTCCTAATCCCATCCTTCAAGGACTGGGTTCCAGAAGCCACATCACCAAGGAGATGGCCCTGGTGTGGATTACACTGGCAGCGTATCTTCTCCCGGATCTGTCAACCCCTCATACCTCAGCCTCGATTTCAGCTAAAAAAAACTCCACTGTGACTTTATTTTCAACCTCAGTGGGTCAGGGAGAGGCTGGCTGACTGGTGGTAATAAAGGATGTTTGGAGCAGTTATACTCACAGGCGTAAACTTGTAGCGTGGGCTGGGAGCAAAAGCATGGAACAGGGCAAGGAGCTTGGTGTCCCTTCTTGTCCAGAGACGCATCCTCAGGCTGCCCCTCCCAGGCAAAGACCCCTTAAATGTGTCAGCTTCTGCAGCACCCCAAGTGACACATCTCAGGGACAGCTGAGAAAAGCAAAGAAAGTGGTGGGAAGGACTATGGCCCTTGTTCCAAACTTGGGTCTGAGGCAATGGGTAGTCACCTTGACTAGAATGAGGCACAGACACCCCCTCCTGCCTCAACCTTCCAGGTAGCTGGGACTGCAGGCTCAGGCGACCACATCGGGCTGAGCTGTTGGTTTTTATCTGTCTATATCGGTGTGTGGGGCCAGAATCACATGGAAGAATAACTGCTTCCACCCAGGCTTACCTGCTGTGGGAGAATCTACACAGCACCAGGACAACGTTAATAACCAACTTGAGTTGAACTCACTATATGCTAAGGCACCTAAGCCTCACAACATGAGGAGGTCGGCACTGTTTTGATCCCATTTTACAGATGAAAATGGACCAGCATGGCAAAATAGAACTTTAAAAATTAGGTTTGTCTTGTTTAAAGACAAGTGGCTAGGGCTGGGGAGATAGCTCAGTGGAATAAGTACTTGCCTAGCAAGCGCAAGGTCTTGAGTTCGATCCTTAGTACCACCCCCTAAAACGAACAAACAAACAAACATATACACAAAAGCAAACAAAATAAAGACAAGTGGCTTTTCCAAACCCTGTCAGGCTTAGGGCATAAATGCCACACACACACCCCACCCAACCCAGATGAATGGACTGACTGTGTAGATGTTGGTACCAGGAGGTGCCAGATCCAATTTCATTTCCACAGGGAAGGTAGGAATCTGGAAGAGGCCTAGAAGGATGACGCAAGCTTGGAGTTGTGTGCTGCCTCTTTGTATTTTCTCTCTTCTGTTCCCTGCTATAAGACTTTTTTACATCTGGTCGGTACACAGCCAAGATGGTGATTTGAAGCAATGGGCCCCTAGCAATGGGCCCCTCCCTTTCCTCCCAGCTAGCTTTGATAAAATCTTTCTTCTTTTCACCAAAATAAACAGCTTCCTTTGATTTGGTTGAGGGCAAGTGAAGGAACCTGAGCCTGTAGACCTAGACATAGAGGCCCAAGTGGCTAATAACAAAATATAGAGGACCAGAGAGGTCTAGTTGCCTCCCCATAATCACGCAGCTAACAGGAATCCAGGTCAGGTTTCAGACGTTTTGGAGGAGGCTGTTGGCAGAGATTTAGGGGATCGTTGCTGCTATTTAGGCTAAACTCTGCCCCAAACCACACAGAAGTGTAGGCCGTTCTCCACTCCTACCTTTCCAGACCTGGGTGGCTATAGCCACTTAGGAACAGGAAAGAAATCTATTCTGGCTCTAATTCTCTACACCAGGGGAGAAGAGGAATTGGCTGGAAAATTTGACACAGATGTTTAGATAAAGCGCATTTTATATATCATCTGTTCAGGCTCACGAAGAGGCGGAAAACCAGCGTTCCCCACATGCAGCATGGAGGAGCGGCCCGCTCTCTGGATCCTGGCCTCCTCTTTGAAGGGAGGCTGGCTCCCTTCATGATGGAATTCCACGCAGTGTTTGGAACACAGAGGAACAAAGACCCTAAGGGCTGAAAAGGGGCCAAATCCAAGAGAGATGCCTCGGAAAGACCGGGATTCCTCCATTTTGCTCTGTGCCCTTTCTCACCTCCACCAAGCTAGAGAGCACAGGCCGGAGACCCCTGAATCTCAGGGTGGGGAGCGCCCCCTAGTGGCCCAGAAGACTACCTGTGATGGCGCTTGGCATCTTGACAGAAGGGAAGTCCAGTGTTTAGAGAAGTCCAGTCTGGCAAAGGAGAATGATCCACTTCTGAGATCAAAGAATAAAGCAGGCACTTGAAGAAGAGATATTTTCACACTCATGTTCATAGCAGCGCTGTTCACAATAGCTTGGAGGTGGAAACAACTCAAGGGTCCCAGTGGATGGATGAATAAACAAACTATGGTCAAAACATACAAGGGAATATTATTCAGTCTTAAAAAGGAAGGACATTCGGACACAGACTATGTCATGGATGGTCTTTGAAGACATACGCTAAAGGAAATAAGCCAGTCACAAGAGGACAAATATAGGATTATGTATGTTTGTCTGCACTTTATCATTTTTTACCTGGATCATCACCATTTTGAGCTGACTTTTTTTTTTTTTTTT